CTCAGTGAGGGCTAACTACAGTGCTGGCTCCTGGAGCCCTCAGTGGGGGCTAACTGCAGTGCTGGCTCCTGGAGCCCTCAGTGGGGGCTAACTGCAGTGCTGGCTCCTGGAGCCCTGAGTGGGGGCTAACTGCAGTGCTGGCTCCTGAAACTCAGTGCAGGCTAACTGCAGTGGTGGCTCCTGGAGCTCAGTGAGGGCTAACTGCAGTGCTGGCTCCTGGAGCCCTCAGTGAGGGCTAACTGTAGTGCTGGCTCCTGGAGCTCTCAGTGAGGGCTAACTGCAGTGCTGGCTCCTGGAGCTCAGTGAGGGCTAACTGCAGTGCTGGCTCCTGGAGCTCAGTTAGGGCTAACTGCAGTGCTGGCCCCTGGAGCTCAGTGGGGGCTAAGTGCAGTGCTGGCTCCTGGAGCTCAGTGGGGGCTAACTGCAGTCCTGACTCCTGGAGCTCAGTGGGGGCTAAGTGCAGTGCTGGCTCCTGGAGCTCAGTGGGGGCTAAGTGCAGTGCTGGCCCCTGGAGCCCTCAGTGAGGGCTAACTGCAGTGCTGGCCCCTGGAGCCCTCAGTGGGGGCTAAGTGCAGTGCTGGCTCTTAGAGCTCTCAGTGAGGGCTAAGTGCAGTGCTGGCTCTTAGAGCTCTCAGTGAGGGCTAACTGCAGTGCTGGCCCCTGGAGCCCTCAGTGAGGGCTAACTGCAGTGCTGGCTCCTGGAGCTCAGTGAGGGCTAACTGCAGTGCTGGCTTCTGGAGCTCAGTGGGGGCTAACTGCAGTGCTGGCTCTTAGAGCTCTCAGTGAGGGCTAACTGTACTTGTTCCTGATTGACTGCTTCAACCTCCTTGGGGAGACTGGCCTTTATATGGCAGAGGACCCAGTGGGTTGGCTTAGGGGCCCAGTGTTCGCCATAGTTGGGGATTGGCCCTTCCAGTGGGTCAGCTTGCTGAGTCTGTCTCACAGCTTTGGATTAAGGTGTACAGAGGACCCAGTGAGTTGGCTTAGGGGCCCAGTGTTAGCCATAGTTGGGGGTTGGCCCTTCCAGTACGTCAGCTTGCTGAGTCTGTCCCACAGCTTTGGATTAAGGTGCACATTCTGAGAAGGAGGCCTCTGCAAGAATAACTGACCTGAGCCCATTGCTCTTTTTGGTACTTCTAAACATTTACAAAATGTTAAAGAAATATATACTGATGAAGATTTACAAAATTTATGAAAGGAAAAATCAGCAATAGATGCATTCCCTCAAGACAGCCTCTGTTAATATTTTGGAGCTTTTTTTTCACGTGTCTTCTTTCCCTCAGTTTAGGATTATTTTTTAAAAGTCATATAATTTTATATCTTGCTATTTTTGCTTATATTATTATTTTCCATTAGTTACATCTGCTTTATGAACATTTTTATTGATGACAATATTGTTTATTCTCAAGTTTTAGATTCAACCTATAGAAAAATCAAAGTTATTTTCTAATTATGATGTAATATACCATTATATGATTATACCATATTTTCTTTAGTTGACCTTGACTGTTGGTCTTTTATGTTGCTTGCATTTTTTTCCACTTTAATAAATAATACTGCTGAGATCACCTTAGTACTGATCACTTTTTTCTCTTTGTAGGGTCATTTTACTAAGCAGAATGCCCAGAAATAGGCCAGAGGGCATGAACACAGGCAAGGTGCTGGCATATAAAACCTTCACACTGTCAAGTGGAAGCAGGGTGCCTCTGGGGTCTCCCACCCCGCTCAGGCCCTCTAAAGGAGGGGCTCTTGTGGCCTGAGCCCTGCCCCAGGAATCTCTCCTTGGGCATGTGGCTTCCTTATTCCCACCTGGTGGCCAGCGCTTCTGTTTCTGATCTGTGTTGTCCTGGCTGAGTGTGTCCATGGTCTCCCCTTGCTTTGGGAGATGTCACTGACACCTGACTTTAGGGGTGAAGTGGTGGGGCATGTGGTTTCACAGCACCCTCTCCTTTGGTGGCAGGCTAGTGGCTGGCCTCAGAGTTTTCTTGGCCCACAAATCACAAATCCCCGTCCTGCTTGGTGACTGAAGTGAAAGTGCAAACCTTGTCCTGGCTATGTGCTGCCAATCATGCTGTCTGTGTCTTTCTCCCCGTCCCTCTTCTATATAGGTACAAACAGGAGCATGTCACAGTCCAGGATGAACTGTTGCAAGTGGCCAAGAGGGAAAGAGAATCTGCCACCAAGCACTCAAAGGCATCTGTGCCTCACGGGGAGGGCAGCTTCGAGCCTGAGAAGCAGCAGTCGGCTCATTTGGTGAGTGTGGACTGCAGGAGTGGACACTGCGTGCTTGTTGCTGTGCACAGGGAGGCAGATGGGCTTGGAGCTGGTTGTCTGATGCCCCTGTGGCTCAGGCTGCCCATCACATGTGCTCAGTGTCACTGATGTGGAAAGAGTGCCTTTGTAGGAGCCGGGAAGTTAGGTTCTTGTAGCCCTGGTCTGTCCCTGATTTTCTTTGCTGCCTTTGGTGTGGCTTTTCAGTCTCTGGGCCATAGGCTTATCCAGTAAGGGACTGGATCCATGATGGTCCCATTCAGCTCCAAAACTTCACAGACATAGGGGTCTGTGTGCCAGGAGCATATGGGAGATGACTGAGGCCTGGGGTCATGTCATGAAAGAGATTGTAGAGCATAATACTCAGAGTTACGCAGGCTGGGGCAAACCTGGCTCCCTACCCTCTACCTTGGGCACAAGGCTTTGAGCCTTGCTTGATCCTGATGGTCACGGGAAGGATTGCCCAGGGGATCATGGGAGATAATGTCTGCCAAGGGTTAGCACATGCCCCACAGATCAGAAAGTACATGATTATTATTAATACATTCATCAGGGTTCTTTCTGCTTTAGTGCAGTATTGGTTTTGCAGTAGGAGAAGTCTGGAAGTGCCCCAGAGTTGACTGATTCAGTGGCTCATTGGCGTCCTCAGGTACCTGGCATTTCTGCCCCTTCCACTCTGCCATCCTCAGTGGGCCAGTGTATCCTCAGGCCTGCTGTCCACATAGGAAAATGGTGTCTGCTGTTGCCCCCATGGGTCAAATGCAGATGGTACTACACTTAGCAGGAGAGGTCTCACGTGAGTCCATGTGTCTCTATCAGCAAGGATACCTTTTGCAGAAGTTCCCAGCAGAATTCCTCTTACATCACATTGGCCTGAACTGCACCATAACTAAGCTCGTCCTCCACTGGCGGCAGGCACCTCAGTGGCACTGTAGCTGAGCCAGTCCTCCACTGGCGGCAGGCACCTCAGTGGCACTGTAGCCGAGCCCGTCCTCCACTGGCGGCAGGCGCCTGAGTGGCACCGTAGCCGAGCCCGTCCTCCACTGGCGGCAGGCACCTGAGCGGCACCGTAGCCGAGCCCGTCCTCCACTGGCAGCAGACAGCCTCAAGAGCTCCACTGGCAGCAGACAGCCTCAAGAGCTCCACTGGCTGCAGCGAGGGCTCCTTTCTTTCACGTGTGGGAGAGAGGGCAGATGGGGAAGGACAGTGAGGAACCGGGAGGGAGGGAAGGCTGTTGGCAGTGTCTACTGATGTCTGCTCATGAGGCCACGTGGTCTGAGAGCAGGAGCAGCCTTGCCATAGCTGCTTTAGGTAGTAGCCTAGTGCTGCGGGGGAGTCCAAGACCATGTGGTTTGGTCTTTGGGGGCTGTGCTGTCTAGGAGGGAAGGTGGGAAGGCTGACTGAGTGCAGGCCTTGTTTACTGATTGGCTTGGGCAGGCTGACTGAGTGCAGGCCTTTGTTTACTGATTGGCTTGGGCAGGCTGACTG